TCTATTATTTCTGAAATAATTACTTACACATTTACCAATTCTACTTTTATCTCTATAAATTAGAAATATAGATATCGATTTTATTTTTGTATTTATATCGATTCCAATCTCAACTAAATTCTCTAACCAACTGCGACATATGTGTAAATCTTCTTCATCTGTCTTAGAGTAGTTTATCTTAAAGTGTTTTCTAAAGCCATGTAACTATAATAATAATTATTTAGGAAAAAAAAATATATATATTACTGAAGTATTTTGCATTCTATCTAATTCTCATCTTCCACTCTCTCTATAATCATATTTGTGTATTTTGATTCAACTTTTCAAATCTGTTAAATTTTATGATACTTCTCTTTCTGTGTAAATCTATATAATCGATGATCTATTTATTGTTCTACGATGTTGTACTATAAAAAGTAAAGGAAGTGACTAATGTTAATTTGTTTTTTCTCTCAGATATTTTGTAATTCTATCAATAATTAATCTGTTAATCTTCAAAAGAACAAATAAAATATTCAATTTCAAGAAAAGAAATTATATCAATAGCTTCATAATAATAATGAAGTAGAAAATAGTATCTATAAAAGTGAATTCTACGAGTTTTTAATCGCTATATTTGTGTTGATGAATAATTATAATGCAATTTAGAATAATTTTTTTATTTCTTCATAATCTACGTCATAACACTTTTTTGTAATGATTTTTTCTTTCATAATGATGTTTACACTAATACAATTATTTTTTTTCTAATACAAATAAATCAAATTTTTATGTAAAGATAAAAATAGGCATTTATATTGATTGATGAAATGTTTAGTTCAGTCAAAAAATAGCTTTCAATATGTGATTTTCATTGATAAAATGCTTAAGAGAATCATTCATCTTTGAAGTCAAAGTTTCAAACGTATTTTAATTTTTGATTTCAGAGATCACAGTGTTCTTTATTCTTTATTTTTAAATTACACTAAAATTTCGAACCCTAAACACAGGTAAACACTAGAGGAATAAAAGAAAAAAATGTCGGGACCGAATAGTGCAAACAGTTTCATATTTGACGTTATAGAATCGTCGGCAACGTTAAAAATTTCAACTATATTTCGAAGTACAGAGATGAGTTCACTGTTTTTTTTGGTATTTTTAGTTATTCTATGACTTTTTTGCAGTTTTTGAACATATGCTATTTGATTTGAAAATAATAAGAACGATTTAAAAAGAAAGCAATAACATGTACTATAAAGAGAGACCAGAATACATATAGTCATTGATAGTGATAACATAGACGAATAAAGGGAGTTTATCTTTCTGTTTATTAGCGACATCGTTATATTTGATAGTTTTTATTCGTCAAAAAATTATGAAAGAGAGAACAATTATAAAATCTCATGCACACGCATAAAAACAACTGAATTTATTCACATTTCTCTTGTGTCGAATTTCTCTCGTGTCGATTTAGTTTGTATTTGTTGAACAAAACAAAGAACATCATATTTCACATTGCTCTTCAGGTACTAATGAACATCTTGAAAATTATTTTCTTTAGAATATAATGTTCTTCTACTATTTCAAACAAATATGAGATGATAATCAATAATAAATCGAATTATACATTGTGAAGTATCAAACGAATATTATCATATAAAAGTTTTTCTTTTGTTGAACAAAAAGAAAAGCTAAACACATAATTCTTTTGTCATATATATAATAAATAGCATATTTTAAAAAAAGAAAATACAAAACAGAGTCAACAATTCTAAACTTTGCATTCTTTGTCAAAATGAAATCATTCTCGAGCAAAATAAAATATTCGAGAAGAATCGTTGAATATCAATTTTCTTCAACATTTTATGTAACTGACATATATTTCCGAAGAAAAAACATGAATGTAAATCTTAACTCGAAGTTTTCTAGTTGTTTTGACTTTCCATTAGAAAAACTGTAGGAACTAGTCTTATACTGTAGATTGTAAGAAATATTTGTGTTCTACATTTCAATTCTCAAGAAACTGTACCAGTAATATTTCTTTGTTCTTTCTAGATCGAATCATAAAATGCTGAACATGATTATTGATGATAATGAAAGTGAAACAATCAAAATATTAAAATTACAATTACTTCTTGCTCAAGAAAAACTCAAACAAGAACAAGAAGCAACAAAACGAAAACGAATAGAAGAAGAAGAAGCAACAAAACGAAAACAAGAAGAAGAAATAACAAAACGAAAACAAATAGAAGAAGAAGAAAATACCAAAAGAAAAGCATTAGAAATTATGAAACTGAATGAAAAATTAAGAAAACGAATGAAAGAATCATTTGAAAACGAATCATATGAAAACGAATTATCATCAACCGATGATGGTTTCTTAGAATATTCATCGGATTCTGATATTGACAATGATTTCATTAATAACAACATTTGTCTGTTCGACGTCAATTTCTTGTTAGAAGAAAATGATCATTTTAATGAATCGATAGAAAATTATATTCAAGATTACATACAAAATATTTCATCATGTACAAAAAAAGGTGAAAATGAATATCAAAATGTATTTGATGAATTAATGTTGAAATTATTATGCAGTTTTCATGGTAGAACATCATTATCATATTTAAATACACGAAATAAAAATTATTTGGAAGGAAAATCGCCTAATTGTACATTTATCTTCAATGATATCAATATTAATATTAAAAATGAATATCAATGTCTTCAAGATTTTGTTGTCATTATTGGCAATATTAAAGAACCAACGGAATCTATCGATGATATAGAAGCAAAAAGTGAAATATTAATGTATTTGAAAATCTTGTTAAATAAACAAGACCGTAATAAAATTTATGGCTTTTTAACCAATAATAAATGTATCAAATTTTTTTGTGTCAAAAAAAATTCAGATTTTTATTTATATGATTATTTTGAAAGTCCAACATTGAATATGTTTGATTATTTATTTAACGTAACACCATCAATGAAGATGTTCAAAACAAATACATCATTTATTGAAGAATCGAAAAATATTTCTCTCAATAAAGAAACATGGATTATATTTACAAAGTTTTTAATAATGCACAAAGATTTTTATGAATATACAACATTAAATATAAATGATATTCATACAGTATTATCAAATAGATATTCGATTATGAAAACATTAGGAAAATGTTCAACATCAAATTTTTATTTGTTAGAAAAAACAAAAAACAATATTTACAGTAATGATACTGAACATTGTATTATAAAAATTTATAGACACAATGAATATTCATCATTATATTTAAATGAAATTAAAATAATAAAAGAATTGAAAAAATTGAATATTTCAAATAACTTTAATTTATTCTTTTGAAGATGTTATAAGTTTATCATTTTCAGGTAAATTTTTTTGTTCGACTTTTTCTTAATCTATCAACAATATTCAGATATTGAGAAGAAGAAAGAAAAAAAAAAGTTTTTATTTTTCTTGTTTAACATGATGAGAAATAGAATTTAATAAGACGTTATATGAAATAATATCATTTTAGAATTGATTAGTTCATCAATGAAAAATATCTAGACTAAGACGAGAGAAAAAAGTAGATTTTTTTTTTTGTTATGTTGATAATAGTTGAATGTAAATAATAATATTGTTTTTTTTTCTCAAAGAAAAAAAGAATTGAAAATGAAATATAATTAACATAATCTGAAATATTTATTTGAAAAAGAAAAAATATCTAATTGATGGAAGAGAAAATTAAAGAATAATTCATTGAAATTGAATAGTTTAATAAAGAAAAACATTTTCCTCATATTTTTCAATAATAAAATGAAAATCTTAATAATGAATAGTACTATTTATTGTATGATTAAAAAGATTTTTTTTTAAATTTTATTATTCGGAAAAAAAAAGAAAATTTGCAAATCGTTTAAGATAAAACATTCTATATAATTAATAGGAGAGATTATTAATTGTAAAGAAAATTATTTTGAGATTGATTGATGCATAGATATCATCTAGTCGAAACTTATTGAAAATGAATCAATATTATTTTCTTTTTCAAAGAATCAACTATGTTTACTCTTGAGAATAAATTTTAATCTAAATCGAAGATCCTCTATGTATTATACATATGTTTAGAATAATTCATTTGATAATTAAGATAATTTGAAATTCTTTCGTCGAAAAATAAGAAAGAGAAAGTTTTATTTTTTGATAAAATAAAAAAGTTTTATGGACGTCAGTTTTTGAAAGAGTAAATGACAATTATGCATATCTCAAATGAAAGATTTTGATTTAAAATATTTTATATTTATAATTTAGGAAATTTTTTATTATTTAAAAATGAATTGGAATCTATAAAAGCATTACCATTAATTCAATCGAAACAGCTGATTGATATAATTCAATATTTATATGATTCTAATATTATTCATCGTGATTTGTGTCCACAAAATTTAATGTTAGATGGTCATATTCAACAATTGAAATTAATCGATTTCAGTTTCGCAAGTCAATATGAAAAAAATGAAATAACAAAACAATTATCAATAAATGGTACAATCTCATTTGCTGGACATGAATTTCTTTATTTTATTTCGAATTTATCATTGGATTCAATAAAATCTCAATTCTATGCTTATGAACGTAATTTTGATCTTAAATCTGCTTTACATCTCATCATATATATGAATGATAATAATATTCAATTAAAGATGAAATCAATTCAAAAATTGAAATATTTTATAGATGAAGCAACACAAACATTAAATTTATGGAAAATTTTGCAACACAATAATAAATATTATTCAAATTTATTAACTTTAATAGATAGTACAATTCAATCATCAACATTTAAAATTATTAAAAAAGAAATAGAAAAATTTGTATATACATAATTATGTTCTAATAATTATTCATTGATTTCGTTCGTAGATCATACTTGTATAGACTCGATTTATTATATATAATTGTATGTGTGTTCATATACATTTATATTTATGCGTATAGATGTGTGTGTATGATTTTAATCTATTGAAAAGAAATAAAAAAAAAAGTTATTAAAATGTTATCGAACTATTTTTAGTTGATAAAATACAAGATGATTTGTTTGTACATATGTAACTTGACATAATAACTATAGACGAACATTGTAAATAGTAGTGTCTATCAGAGATGTCCATCGCAGCTGAAAGTCTGCGGCTGCCACGATGCGGTATAAGATAAACTAGCCGCTGTCGCGATGGTTTTCACAAAACCGTTTCGAATTTCACTGTTCCAACTGTATTAGACAAGAAATATTGCTAGTAATCTATCAAATTCATTCAGTCCTACATTGTTCTATTTGTAAGCACTGAAATTTCTTACAAATTTATGCAGTTTTTCAATGTCCTGAACAAAAATCTGCTGTTGCCGCGATGACTTTTTAAAAAGTCTGCCGCTGCCGCGATGGTTTTTAAAAAAACTTGCCGTTACCGCGACCGCGGCAGCATCGCGTCAGCGGCAGCGCCGCGATGAACATCTCTGGTGTCGATAGGGAAGAAGATTTTGCTTCTATGACAATTTTTTCTTGAATCAATCTCTTCTTAATTCTAAGAGTAAAAAGCAGTAAATTTAGAGTGAATGTTCAATATAAACCTTTTGAATTTCATTTGCCATTCATAGAATATATTTCGAGCAAAAGTCAATAGATCATTTCGAGACATTCACTTTTCTTGATATTGAACTATTGAAAAGAATTAACTGAAATCATATCATAAATCAGATTTCATATATTTTTGTATACTTTATAAAACACTATGCAATGTCTTTATACAAAATAATGAAACTTTAATGAAAATCTAATAGTTTCAATTAAAGAGCATTCTTTTTCTTGTCTACAATTTTTTGTATATGAAAATCCCTAATAATAATTAACTTCAAAAAGCAAAATACTCAAATGATCAATGTTTAAAATTTTTTTTTGTTTGAGAAATGGTTTGGTGCATATAATTTTCATCACGTATTCTATATTGGTATATCGATTAGATATGAGAATGTTGAGAAAAAAACTTTGTCACAGTTTCTTAGTAGAGTTCTTTGGGGGTTAAAATATTGAATTCACATGATTTATTTATTCATATTATATGAATGCAGAATATGCACAATTGAGAAAATTCTTACAGCTTCTAGTTATTTGCTGAGATTATTGATCAAGACAAAATATAATCTGTCTTATTTGTTTGTAGATTTTGAAAAGAATTTTCGCCTTGGTTTTCTAGTGTTGAAACTTTGTATAAATTAATGCTATTCGTTGGTTAGTTTTAATTATTTTTATCTTCATTTCTTTTTAATTTAATTGTGTGTCAACTTACAAAGCAATTTTTAAAAAAATACTCTTATGTTCTTTTTATGCGTAGACAAAAAAGTAACAAGCTCAATATATCAAAAAGCAAGAATAAAGCATTGATTTATAAGAATACTTTATTATATAATAACAAAAAAAGTCTAATTCAAAAACTGTTAGATTATAAATTGACACGCTCTTTCAAACACAGAAGAAAAATACTTAGCTACAATAAAGCTTCTTCGAAAACTCCAGAATGCATGATCAAACGAACATAATACAAGATTATGAAAATCTATTTTTTTTTTTTTTTTTCTATACATAATGAATTGCCAAATAAAAGATATCAGACGACGGATTATCTTTTCATGTATTTAGCTAAATTTCGATTGTTTCGACGTTCTTATAAACTTGTATAGCATGAAGTTCGTTCAGAAAGTTTCTAAAACTGATTCTTTTCAAAAAATAACAGTAGGCATTACTATCTCTCTATGCAATTAAACTTCACGAACTTTGATAGATTCATCATTTATGTCTAAATTTAACAAAATTTTCCGCTTTATATGATATATAATCTATTCAATATCTATCCATGCAAGATGCTAGCTTCTAGTGATAATATTGTACGATTAATTGTGATTTTTCAAATGGGCTCGCCGTTTTAAATATAGATAAATACGAGTATATACACGATGTTTAGTTTTCTAGATGTTATTGAATGTGATATTCAAAGCTATTTCATCAATATAAAGCTTTTCGATGGCTAAGCTATTAATGTCCATTTCAGAGTTAAATAGTCTTGAGTATTTTTTGAATAACTTTTGATAGAAACACGATAGCGAACTGTGAATTGTGGTTTTCACTATATCAAAAGAAAAAAGTCAAATGCATAAAGCCATGCTAAAATTTGATTGTTTAGCTACGGACCAATCAGATGCATTTTCAATGAGCACTTTAAAAGACGATATTCTGAAGTCATTCCTAAAGTTGAATTGATTGTTGATTCGCTTGTTTGATAGAAAAAATTGTTTTCTTTCGATCTTCGTAAGATTAATCTTTCTAGGAGGCATTGCACGTAAGCCACGACCACTTTCTATTGAACCATGCTCAATCGATTCAACCA